ACGTATATTTTCATTAAAAATAATAATTCATTCCTAATTTTTGTTATTCAATATTTATTTTTTACGAAAAATAATACATACACGGACCGAAATCGGTCCGAATATAAAAATGAAATTTCGTATTTTCTAATGGATATATACAGACCAAAGTCGGTCCGTATGTATTTATTTAAATAATATTTTATTCATATTTTTTGTTATTTAATATTTATTTTTTTCAGAAATAATATTCAGACCGTTTTCGGTCTGAATATTATTGGCGCTTTTATACTGTGAATTCCCGCAAAAAATATACAGATTGATATTGGTCCGAATATGTTGGTTAGTATATTTTGTGCCACTTGAATATATTCGGACCAATAATGATTCGAATATTTATTTTTTTTGGACCGACACTATTTGATCCGTATATGTTTGGTTCGTATACGTCATTTTTCTAGTAGTGATTGACTGTGACGAGTTATCTTTCACTTAATGATGTTAAAATTGTTGATATTAAACTTGTTGATGGTATTGAAAATGTCATTGGAGCAACATTTGATGTTTGAATAGATTGCTTTTAGCTTAAATTGATTTTCACATTTGATCTGATTTGATTTAGGGGTTGGACTAAAGAGAGCTTTTGAGTAGGCTGCTTTGATGTGGGTGGAATAACAATAGAGATAATATTTACTTCACTCCCATCAACCTTTGTATGTAAAATATGTTTTTACTATGAGATAAAAATTAAATTATTATAAATAATTATACTTAATCTAATCAATGTAAATTAAAATTACATCATGAGATGTTCTAGTTCCTTTTCTTGCTCTCTTGCTTGATTTAATAGCCTTTGAACTTTGGGATGTGAACTACATTTATTCACTTTTTTTCTCTACTTTTAAAACTTTTGAAATCTCCTTAAACAGACTCATCATCACAAATAGGAATCAACCCATCACTGATTGTTTTTCTTTACTCCAAATATTATATTTGATCAACTATATTAGGATCATACCTAGTTGTACCAATCTTAGCGAACAACTTAGACATAGTTAACTTCTCTTGTTTCACTTTTCAATCCCAACACTAATCATTAATGTACTGCATTTCTCTAATATTGTTTAGAGGAAATTTACCCCCCACATGCATATACAATAAGAAGTCTGCCTTCTCTGCTTTATTGTCATCCTATATAATACAATAATAATATAAAATGTATTTCAATTTACATCATTATAAAGCATATAAGAATTCCACTACCACTATTTAAACTCTAAATATTTAATAGAAAAAAATCATTATTTATAAAAATAATGAGACACCCATTATATGTGGGACCTATGTTCCTTTTCTCTATATTGTCATGCATTTGAAGACCAAATTACTCACTTTTTACCATATATTTATCATAAAATCTCATTAGAAATTTCACCAAAAAAAAGGCCTATCTTTTAAAGACCACAATTATAAAAATCAAAACCCTAAAGCAAAATTAAAAAATATATCTCATATTCAATAACACTTATGCTCCACTATTGCTAAAGATCAACAACTTTCCTGTGATTGGAGTCCATAAGACATGTAATACACAAATAAAAGATCTACAATTTTAGGCTTTTTTTTTTTTTTTTCAAAATCTAGGATTCAACAAAAGAAAGTTTAAAGATGTCAAAGATTTTTTTTTCCTTCTCCTATACTCTCTATGATGGACCTTGCAAATTAAAATAAGCCCTTTGAATGGGGTGGATGGTAAGCGAGCAGTGAAGTGGGGTAAAATTTGCCTGGTTAAAACATTTTTTTCCTAGATGTTATTGCCATGTCATTAAAATTTTAAAAAAATTGAAGTAACCTATTAGTTTAACAAGTGAAGCTGAATGGGAGTTGGCGGCAGGACATGTTTGGTGCACAAATGTAGAGTAAGGGGACCAAAAATGTGCAGAATAAAGTTAAGAGAAAAAATTATTGTAGAATACTCAAATTAAGAGATTAAAAAAATACATTAAACTATGTGAGAATGCCATGATTGTACAACCATTACCAACAAAAAAAAAAAAATTGCAATGCCATAGTTATATAGTTATTATGTATATAAAATTATAAATTTATAATTATAATATAATAATAAATAAATATGAAGTATTTAAATAAATAAATGTATATTAATAAGAGGAGTTACAAAAAATCAAGATATTTATTTTAATGTTCAGTATATCCATTACAAGTTTACAACTGTTAATTTGATGTGTCTCAATTAAGAACCAAACTTATTTGACGATTGTGAATGAATGTCCTTTACGTTCTTATTTTCTTCAATCAGATACGTATACTAATGAAAAGTAATAGGTCCGGACTGGCGAATTTCTTGGAGTTCACACTGAATTTCACCGTCCTCCTTTTACGATAGGAAACTAGCAAGTCCTTGACTCTGCTTCGTGTCAATGCTGAATACGAATCCTATTTTCCTTTGCCTGTAAATCCAAAAACCATGAATCCACCTTCAATTCCTCACTCTTTTCACTTCCATAACCCTAACCCTAACCCTAATCCTACCTTCTCCTTCTTCCCTTCCCACGAAAACCCTAATCTTGTTTTTAATTCGTTCTCAACGCCAACCCCTGACCTCTCTACTACTCTCTCTTCTCTTAACTCTCTCATCTCTCTCACCCAACAAATCCTCGATTCCCATTTTTCTCTCCTGAACTCCCAAAATGACACTCTTGTGTCCTGCCCCTTCAACCGTCACCATCTCATGCCTCCAGAGTCTCTCTTTCACCATTCCCTCCGCTGCCCGGCTCCTCTCAGCCTTGACCCTTTGAATATGTCGAATTCCCCGAACCCGTCTTCAGATGTACAGCACCGAGAAAGTCACCTTATTCAAGGTAGCAATACTGAGCTCTGCTTCTCTTTGGATAATTATCTTGGTGATTTGGGATTGAGTTTCTTCTATAAAGATTGTCCAGGTGTTGTTAGTTTAAATGATAAAGATAGTTCAAAGAAAACATTTACTTTACCTGGTGTTTTATCTGTGGAATGCGCAAACTTTGTTGGTTTTAGAGAGGGAGAGATAAAAGATAAAGATATGGAGTGTTACAGCACTTTACCTTCTGATTTGTGGGCTATTCGGAGGGAAGTCGAGGGGTGGGCTGATTGCCCAAACTTCTGTTCGTTTAAAGTGACGTGCGGAATTTTGGGCTCAAATATGGTTGGAAACAAAGATTTGAGAAGATGGGTAATTGCTAATTCGCCACGGTATGGCGTCTTAATTGATGGTTATGCTGCAGATCATATATTATTGCTGTTCAAGTTGTGTTTAAAAGCAATTGTGAGGGAAGCCCTTGGTTTCTCAGAAGTGGAGAAGGTGGGTAGAGATGTGAAGAAGAGAGATTTGGAGTTGAGTTTGGAATGTAGGAATTTCAATTGTCCTATTCTGGTCCAAGTTTTGATGTGGTTAGCTTTGCAGCTCTCTATTTTGTATGGAGAAGCAGGTGGAAAGTTATTTGCAATCAGCATTCTTAAGCAATGTATATTAGAAGGTGCATTGAGGTTATCATTATTACACTTGGAAAAAAGGATGGCTGAATTTTTCAATTTTGGAGAACAATCACAGATTTCAAATGTTAATGGTACAGGTGCTGAGGAAGTTAAACTTGAGGAACAACTTAAAATCAGCACAGACTCTAAACTAGTCACAACAGAGAGTGCAACTGTTGGTAGTGGGGTGATTTTTGTGTCCCAGGTAGCAGCAGCAATTGCAGCATTGCATGAACATTCCTTCCTTGAAGAAAAGATCAAGCAATTACAAGCTTCCCAACAACTTAATAGATATCGGAGGTTAGTTACCATGTTCATTTGCTTGACCTGAGAGTCTTGAATAATGGAGCATCTTGGTTTCAAGGGTTTTGTTTCCCTGCCATGTATTTTACCATCCAATTAATTATTCAGCCATTGAATTACCAAAAGTGAAGGTTTGCTCACCGCAATGTTTGGTTACTCGCCTTCAGTTTTTTGACTGACTATTTCTTTTATGGTTTTAAAAGTTAATGTTAATTATGTCCTTTGGTTGTGTATTATACAATCAAATCAACTGACTTTAGTTCTGTATTATGACAATTAAATCAATTTACCTTTTCAGTTAATTACAAAAGCTTTACATTATTACATGGAATGTGTATCATTGAGTTTCCTTGATGGAAACTGAATTTCACTGTTTATAATAAATGATTCCTTGAGTCCATTGAGTTTCCTTGATGCACAGGATGGCTGAGCATGCTTACCTTTCAGAGAGAGCTAATGAGGAGAGGAAAAAACGTTCTAACTATAGACCTATAATTGAGCATGATGGGCTTCCTCGGCAGCCATCTGCTAACCAGGTATGGAGACTTTATTTTCAAGCTAATTGTTTCTTGAGTCCATTTTGCAGTTAGAATTTAAATGCATGAAAGTGTTAGGTAAATGATATCAGAAATTGTGATATAAGACTAGATTACCTGGTTTTTGCTGAGGCTGCCAGGTTCAGATTCTTGCAAATGAAATTCATATTGACCATTGGTATTAAGAATTCTGTAAGAGTACATGATATTGATTACTTTTCTCTTTTGAGGTTATAAGTTTTGAAGTTGTGATAAGAAACAGCTGAATTAGTGTGCTGTGAGCTTGAACTGGAATGATCAGAACATTTGTGGAATGATGTTTGACTAGTATTCATCTACTTTACACTGGGATCCATTATATTGCATTTTGACCATTGTTTTTCTGTTTTTCGTAAGGAAACAAACAAGGCCAAGACAAGGGAGGAGATACTGGCTGAAGAAAGGGATTATAAACGCCGAAGAATGTCATATCGTGGGAAGAAATCAAAGCGGTCTCCATTAGAGGTGGGGAAGCTTATTCAAATATTGAATTCTGATTGTCTATTTGGGATTCTCTCATGTATTATCTTACATACCCTGCTGATGTGATGATATTTTGGATGAACATTTTTATTTTTCTGTTTTTGCATCTTTGTTTCTTTGTCTTTTTTGTCTTTAAAAAGGAATATGTTACTTGAGGTTCACACTTTGCCATTTGTTCTTTGTTTTGAATGTCTTAAGTGTTTTTTATGTTTATTTTTTAGGTGATGAGGGACTTAATAGAGGAATACACAGAGGAAATAAAAAATGCTGGAGGAATTGGTTGCTTTGTTAAACAAGCAGAAGTGGGAGGGATAGCACCATTACCAACTGCTCATAGCCCGCATGTAGATGTTGATGACCAGAGAAAAAGTACTGATGACATAACAGAACCAGAAAGGGATAGCCTAGATCATTATGGGAAAAGGTCTCAACGTAACAATGAAATTAGATCTGTGAGATCAGAAGATGCTTCAGAGAAGGATAATGAGCAATCAAGATGGAGCAAACATGAGGACCATGATCATTGTAAGGACCCAAGAAGTAGTGATATGAAGAGACGTAGTGAAGGGTACCCTGGAAGCTCAAAGAGACACAGAAATCATGGTGTGTCTGATGAGCGAATTAGTCATAGAAAAGAAAGAGACAATTCAGAATCAAGTAGAAGCAAGTATTATAAGAACAGAAGGTCATCCTCCAGTATGAGCAAACATCAGGCCCACAGATCATCTTACTCTATGTCTAATCCTTCAGATGAGGTTCACAGAAGAAAGTTTGACCTGGATTTTGGAATTAAAGATAGGAATCACAGGAGCTTGTATGAGAATTTTACTTCTGACTTGGAGGAACCAAAGGGATTTGGCGATAGATATGATCCTTAAGAATCTCAAGACAGCCATTATGCATAAACGTGGCATTTTGATTGGAAGCCATTTTTTTTTGGCAAGAATAGTTTCATCAATGTGCTAGCAGCTCTCCTTATTAATCTGAAAAGGCTTTGGGTAGTTTTCTATTCTGGTAAGTTCATATATGCTGATGTTTAAGCATGGTATTATATATTTGAATCCAAAGTTTAGTATTTGACATGTTTTATTCTAATAACTTTGCAGTAAGAAGTCATCGGGCTTCAGCACTGACCCGATCTGTATCCTCCTTTGTATCCTTCATTATATTTTTTAATTATTTGATTTCTTTAGCTCGTTGGAACTTTGATTTTGATCCTCAAGTTGTCTTTCTTTCTCTTTTGAACATAAGTTTTATGGTAGTGCCAACATAGACATCTTTCAATATCCTTTTGTTGTGAACCATATCATTTGATCCTCTCCTAATGGTTACAATTTGCAAAATCTTGAATCTTCAATTGGAGCTGTCAGTTTCATACCACTACTGCCCATGTGATATATTTTTCTGAATTCCATTATGACATGCTATTTCTATGTGTAATTTCATTTTATTGAAGAGAAATCTTAAAATAGTGAGAAATTAATTGGGAGTAAAATTAAGGGAGGTGTTATTTACTTGTCATTACTGATCATGTTTAATTTTCTATACTGTTATATATGTCTGTGTGTAGTGGGGTGGGGGTGCAATTGGTTATATTTTGTCTACTAGATTGACATATCAATTTTTTTAATTGACGGCCAACTTCTTTTTTCATTTTTAATTATATATGATATCTTGTCGACATTGTACTATCCCCCTCTTCTCTTATATACATACAGACATACATTAATTGTGTTATTGTTTCCTTCTAACTTCTAATGATAAAGCAAATTGCAAACTTAGATTGGCAGACGTTTCAAGGAATATTTGCAATGTTTGATTCAGTTTTATGCAGATTCCATGATTAGAATTGAAATCTTTATTATCTTTATATTGTTTCTAATTACTGAATCTTATTTCCTTTTACTTAAAAGCTTATGTTGTTGCTTTCACAGATTGAAAGGTTACCTGCATGGCCACGCCAAACACCGAGATTGTTATTCTTTTTCACTTTTCGCTGGAGGGACTAGTGATTGAAAAAGAGATTCAAGTAATTTATCACCCTGAACGATTTGCAACAAGTGTGAAGGCTTGTAAAGAACCATACATAAATAGTAGTTTGAGAGACCCCTGGTCTGCACCCAGTCGTATTAAACCTTCGAGGGTTTTTGTTTTTTGTTTTCATTATTTTTTTTTTCCTTTGGTTTTAGTTTTTTAACCGAAGTGGGAAGAAATGTGTCAATCTTTTCGTTGAGACATTCATTGGGAATTTTTATTTGTTGTTTACAGCAAAATAGTCAAATCCGTTTCGTATTGGTTGGTATGGTCGGTATATATCAATTTTTAAATTCTATTGAAATGGTATAAGGTTAAAAATTGTTCTGATTAAAATTTAGTTTTTTGGATCAAATTTTGGTGTATTAACCGATATTTTGTTTATCGGGTCGGTACATCGAAATTAATCGAGACAATTCAAATCTTAAAAAAAAAAAAAAAAAAAAAAAAAAAAAAAA